ATAAAGTGCCTCAGTATAACGTGGAATTTCTACGAAGTATTGCCCCTTAATCTTATCATATCTCTAAGATGCAGCTCTCATTGTTGGAATAAATATATGTAAGTAATTACTACAAGGAAGATCTTTTTTTAAGAATGGGAGTTTACTACCGAGTGGACATTTCCTCTTTGGTACATGCAGTCAATGTATGGCATCAATTCAAACAGATAAAAATCACAGCTCTAGACTAACATACTTCACAACAAGTATTTATTCTTACGCATTCAGGAAAAAAAAACCTTTGTGCTTTGTGAACAAACATTATGTCTCAATAAACACTGTTCTGTTCTTTGTGTTCAAGGGTAATTGTTTTTAAACTTTCAAAGGAATAGCCAATTTCTAATGGTGCTGCTCTTTTTAACAGCAAAAAGAGGTGAGGTTAACTAAGCATCACTGAACCATCATTTGCCTCAGGAAAAAAAATGGGGGAAATAGATTTATACACCTACAGTAATATGCAAGTGCTGTATTTTGAAAGCAGTAAAGACTACACTATCTCCCCTGCAAGATCATTGATGTATGCCTTTGGGCTGCAGCCAAACCAGAAATGTTTAGGGGTCAAGTTTACAAAATGGAGGAAGCACTGGAGACAGGATAAGAAAGTTGAAGAGGACATATGGTCAATGTTGTAACCAAATTATGCAATGTGGAGTCCTGGCTTGAGAGAAAATGGAGAACTCTAAATTCCAACTCTGGTGGTCCATGCGTTGCAGTTATGGACTGCAATCATCCCTTTGCCTGTGATTGCACATAATGGGCCAAAAGAGGAAATGCTTTTTCTCATTCTGTGTTGCTGTGTTAAAAAAGATTGAAGTACATGATGTCCTTTTGACACAAGAGTTGCTGGAGATACCTCCCAGGGGCCCCTCCTGCTTTCTTTTTATTTGCAGTCCACATTTTACATTTTTGATGCATGTCAAAGTGCAATAAGTCTCTATGAAACTGAGGGTGCACAACCTGTCTGCATTTAATTTAGGGGATAAGAGATCAGCAGACAGTGAAAGAAAATGTGATGCATCTAACTGTGGTGAGGTTTCAAATCCTCCTGTTATATTGCGTTTTTAAAAAAACCCAAACATTTTTCTTGGGTTTTGGACAGTAAGGTACTCTGGGGATTTGTGTGAAAGACAGGATATATATTTCTCTAATAAATTAAACATTGCCAACATTCAACCATTTCTGTGTAGGATCTTTTAACCTTGTCAGTTGAATTTCAACCATGTAGTAATGTGTCAGTAATACAGTACATACAGAGATTAAGTGAACCATTTCCACTATTTGTAGTTAAGTAGTTGTGTTCATCTGTTACAGCAAAGACCCATATTATGGGGTCCTAGAAGAGTTAAATGTGCCAGATTGATTTTCATGGACAAGTCTCCTTAATAAGACGACACTACGTTCTTGGATATATTTTTTCACAATGAAAAAGGATATATTTGTATACGTTATTTAACTTTTGTTAAATAATATATACAAACATTATGGTGGTGTATGCAATTTACTTTGTAGAAAGTAATGTTTGTCCCCATTCAAGGTGCAGAAACTGTGGCTGAAGCTATCATAGCCATTTTCAAAATCAGTAGACAGAAAACTGCATAGCGAAACAAGGTTCTCCTAAGTTAATTCTGAATATTTGTAGTAGGTAAAGGTTTTCCCCTGACATTAAGTCTAGTTGTGTCTGGCTCTGGATTCGAACTGCCAACCTTTTGGTAGGCAAGTTCAGCAGCTGAGCGGTTTAACCCACTGTGCCACCCGGGGGCTCCTTGGAATTTGCAGTATCAAGTTAAAACAACTCTCTTCCTTACAGCAAGCTCTAACATAAAACTTATAAAAGAGCATGACTCTACTACTTTATTCCTGGATTTCTCTGATGTCTTATGAGTGGCTACTTTTACCATGGAGCCATTTATTTATTTCCAACTAAATTCAAGTGACACTTTTACCAAATGCCAACATCTCATCCCTGGGTAGGGCTTAGAGGGACTTCAGCAGCAGCACTTTCAGAAACCCATTTTTCAGATGTATTACAACTCTTTAATGAATATGTTGCCTCAAAAGACGGCGGTCTCCTTCTCTAGAGGTTTTTAAACAGAGGTTGACCGGCTAGCTGTCAGGAATGCTTTGATTGTATTTTCCTGCATGGCAGAATGAGGTTGTACTTGATGGCCCTTGGGATCTCTTCCACTTTTATGATTCTGATTCTCAAAAAATTAAGAGGCAACAAATAAATTGTTAAAAATAGAGGCTTTAGGGAACTAAACGGCCACATTTATGTAGGACAATCTAGTTATAGCTGGAGGAGTAAGTAGGTACTAAAGCTGAAGCGATCATTTGCCAGCAGTTAGTAAATTTAGGCCCTCTAGGTGTTTTGGACTCGAACTCCCACAATTTCTAACAGCCTCAGGCTTAAGTAAGGAGTAAAAGGGAGGGGCCTGAGGCTGTTAGGCATTGTGGGAGCTGGAGTCCAAAACACTTGGAGGGCCCAAGTTTGCCTATGCCTTAGTTAAACCCTTGTGCCAGCTGAACTGCTGATCTGAAGATTGGCTGTTTGAATCCGCGAGATGGGGTGAGCTCCCATCTGTCAGCCCCAGCTTCCCACGTGGGGACATGAGAGAAGCCTCCCACAGGATGGTAACACATCTGAGCGTCCCCTGGACAATGTCCTTTCAGACAACAAATTCTCACACACCAAAAGCAACTTGCAGTATATACACTATTTGTGTCTGACACGATAAAAAGCTTGTGCTTATCCTTGTACACAAAAGGAGCTGGCCTTTAAAGGTCATGCCATCAGCCTCATCTACCCTTTCAACCTTTCCTGCTCATTTTGCAGGATGGTTCAAGCTAATCTAGTTTAAGAAACAGGAAAAACAAGCCTTGGAACTACCTATTTGGATAGGTTATGCCTAGGAATTTTCCGCTCAAGTCCATGTAAGTAAAGCTAAACATTTGGTTTGTTAAAGCAAGTATTTAACTTTACTGCAACATGTCACAAATGTTAGGTACAAGGTTTCCAATGCTTTCCTAACCACCAGCTAAGGTATTGTAAGCTACAAATGTGGAATTGAAAAGCTGAAACATAGTGCTACATTAAGCAAGGCCTTTTACGGTTGCTTGTTTCTGTAGTCCCATGCCTTGTAAACAATACACACAAGCAGGGTTGTTTGTGGGGTTACAATACAGTGCAAATGCTGACTCTTGTTGCCAGTCAAGAGTATAGGAACCTGTTTTTGCTTTAGTTTTAAAGCCCACAGAGCAAAGAATCTGGTAATCTGGTCTTACTGAAATATCTGGTGTTTTTGGCCAGCTATGGAACAATTTAGTGGCAGTGACATGGAAGCAGACTTCTTTGGCACCATGTTGTTTCAGTAAGAAGTCCATGATGGAATTACACGGGTAAAACTAATTGATCTCTTGGTACACCATTCTCACAGGCTTCTTCCTCTGATATTCCAGTGTAAACAGAGGGGAAAGCCTTATTGATGACTGCTGTCACATTCTGGAGCTCCCAAAGGCTAGACTAGCACTCTTCTTGTTAAATTTCTGCAGAGAGGTAAACAACTTTTTATTTCAGAAGACTAGGAAAAATTGGGCCTTGTATAATGGCTTTGATTGTCTATTTGTTACTTTCTTTTTCAAGGCTTTCTTTTTTAAAGGCTTTAGCTTTTCTGATGCTTAACATTTTTAATTTTTCCATGCTTCTATTTATTTAGTTGTATGTTACCTTTGTTAGCCATTTTGAATCCTGAACTGGGGAAAATCAGGTTAATAATAAATATAACAACTCTAAAAGACATAAACTCTTACCTCTTTGCTGCATCGTGCATTACAAGAACAGTTTTTATGGAGATTCCAAAATAGTTGGTTTATGGCCCTAAGGAGCATATTGCTTTAAATAATACCATTAAACATTCAGGGATGTTTTTATCAACCGAAAAGCATGTGATTTTAGGCAAGTACAAGCACTGCCAACTGTTTACGCTAGAATGACCATTATATAAAGTGAACAAGATTACACAAACAGTCCGACTATATCCCAGCTATTTACTAAGATTAAGTATTCTTCAGGACATTTTAGCCAAGGCACATAGGATAATAGAATTAGAAGAGACCATGTGAGCCATCCAGTCCAACCCTCTGCCATGCAGGAAATGCACAATCAAAGCAACCCCCAGAGATGGCCACCCAGCCTCTGTTTAAAAGCTTCCAAAGAAGGAGCTTCCACCATACTCCAAAGCAGAGTTCCACTACTGAATAGCTCTCGCTGTCAGGAAGATCTTCCTAATGTTTAGGTGGAAACTCCTTTCCTGTAATTTGACCCCATTGCTGTGAGTCTCCAGGGTAGGAGAAAACAAGCCTGCTCCCTCTTCCTTATGACATTATCTCAAAATATATTTCTAGTGCACAGCATTACATATCATTTACACATTATACCCCTCCATTTCCTTTTTCCCCATTCCTCCTCTTCACTTTAGTTAGCAGACAGAATTTTCAAATGAGAAATTAAGTAGGTGTTCATAATTCAAGAGAGAACTGCCAGAAAGTTGAGATGTTTCTCCAGACTCTCTAAAATGATTGTTTTAAAGTCATAATGATTGATCTATTGTTTGTTTCTGGTGCAGCTAGCTACCTTAAGAAACAATCACTGTAACAATTCCTGGAATGCAGTAACAAAGATTTACTTTCAGGAGAAGAGGCACAAAAGAATGCAGTACATCATTCTGTGTGCTTCTTCTCCCTCTGGTGGTAGAATAAGATGCTACATTTAGCCTGATGTGACAATGTACATAGTTGCCGCATCAAAAATGGCGACAAGCGGGAATAATGAAAATACCTCAGGTTTTTTTGTTTTGTTTTCTTTTTTGTTGTTTGGGTATTATTATTATTATTATTTTGCAATTTATGAATCCAAAAATTGAGAAGTGTGTTTTTTGTAAGAATTTACAAGACACAAATCATGGTAATAGTTGAGTATTAGATTTTAATAAAATTGCTATGAATAAACCAGAATTACATCAGAAAAAAATCACAAAGGAATATGATGATGGTCTTCTCAGTGCAGTACCTGATGCTTGCTCTCTGATCAGTGTTTACCTGGAAAGTGAGAGACAATGGTCACTATAATGAGGAAATATAAAAATCTGAAAATTCCTCCAGCTTTCTTAAAAGAGTCGCCTGCCTTTCTCAGCTACCACTGGTGATTTTATTCACCAGTGATAACAAAGAGTTAACAACCACTTCCTACATTTCTAAATTACTGATCTGAGTTTGTTTACAGACTGGAAGTTAAGCCAGTGATTTATTCACAGACACAGTAAGTAACCTAAGAACGGATAATTCTACTAAAATCTCAACATTGTGTGTAGCAGGGTGAGTGATGCAGAATTAAAAAACAGAAGCATCAGAAAGAGGCAAAGTCAGAACTGAGTAGCTAGTCTCATCTGTGGATTTCTCGTCCCATACATGAGTAATTGAAATTTCACCTGCATACCAATACAGTTAGAGAAATTGCTGCCACACAAACCCCAATATTTTTTATATATACAGTAACTGAATAAAAAAATATAGTAGTAAGAGCAAGTTAGCTGAGTCTTTGACATCTCTGGGTTATTTGTGCTTGGGTCATTCTAGTCAAAGTCTCTAACCAACGATTCCCTGCCCACTCATGATAAGTTGCATGCTCACAACATTTCTGATTAGCAGTTGATCTAGAAACAAATCCAGACTTTGAGGAACAATGTTGGCCACCTTTACAGAGGCATTCCAAGACTGAACACAAGGGCTCCCTGCGCCAAGGTGGCCAGTTAGTTTACCACTCTATGAACAAAGGTAAACAAAACTAATATGCTACCTATGTAAGGACAGAGTGTGTAGCTCAAACTACTCTAAAACTATTGTTTATTTCCACTCCATGGAAAAAAAATTATCCTGCAAGAAGCTCTAATAACAAGATAATCACAACATATCTCACATTCAAGCTTGACATACACATTTATTAAATATAAAAATCTGAAAATTCCTCCAGCTTTCTTAAAAGAGTCGCCTGCCTTTCTCAGCTACCATTGGTGATTTTATTCACCAGATAGGCTTGTAATCATTCTTCACCTTCCGGTAATTCAAACAATATACCTGTTGTGTGAATTAGTTGGCAGCTTTAAATGAAACAGGTAACACTAAATATTTTCTGTATATATCTACACTTTTAAAACTTACTGGCTTTAAGTAAAAAAAAAAAAGAAACTATTTCAATTATGTATCAGAGTGATGCTGTCAGCAGTACATATATGTCAAACCTTGTGTTTCTTAGGACCATAGTTATAGTATTATTAGTTCACATTAACTGCCATAGCAAAGATCTGTGGAATTCTGAGATTTCTAGTGTAGCTATGCCCAAGAGCTCTCTGGCCAAGACTCCTAAATATTCCTCCTTCCTGAACTGCAAATCCCAGGATTCCATACAATGTTGCCATGGCAGTTAAAGTGAATATAGTGCTATGACAGTACAGAGTGACACAGCCCTTAGTTCATAAGCACAGTTCAGAAAACATTCCCACAACTTGATTAATGTAGAATAAGAAAAAGAACAAAGACATGATAACATGTTAACTGATAAAACATGAAAACATAATGGATCAATAAGTCAGGTGGCACTTCAAGTGAGCTCTAATGCACATAGTTCAATTTGCTTCTTCCCAAGATTTAGTGCAGCTGACATAAAGAATGTTTCGTTGTGATGCAGTTGAAGACTTAATATAAACTATGAATTCACCTGTATGGATCCAGAATATCCCCATGAAGATCTGAAAGACATGGAATGCACCTAGAAGATATAAAGTTCAATTTCATTTTCTGCTCATTCTCCTTTGTAACATCAGTACATACGGTAAATACAATGAGTATCTGAGTTTCCTTGTAACTTCGAGCAAGGAATATTCAGCATACCAATATAAACCACAATGATGCAAAATTTTAATTCAGTTGCCCCACTCCTAGGACAACTGAAAAAGGTTTTGATTCTCCCCTACTTTGGTGCTTCGGTTTAAACCGAAGGGGATTCAATGAGCATGGGCACAATGGAAGGCTAACAGAAAAAGGAATGGTCCCCTACCTGAAAGCAAGCCCAGGATTAGCCTCCACCCTATATTTTAAAGAACTCAAATATTTAAATACCCAGATAAAACAGACTGTAGTGAAATCTTCTATAAAAGCCAGATTAAACGTGTATGCAGTATCATACATGATCATCAAAGTACTGGTAGAGTGTTCACACCTGCTACTGCACAGGACAGACCCCAGGAAGGAGTGTGCCACTTTTCTTTTTTATCTAGGGCAAGGTTCAGGTTAGCAGGTATAAGGCTGAGTCTCAGGAAGCCCAGCTACACAGTAACCTTTTCCCAGCCCACACTTTGCAGTGAACATCACTGTGTTCTTAACATATAAAGTTTTGAAGACTATAGCTCTGCATCATTTGGATGCATTACCTCACTAGATATCCAGCAGTCCCAGAGTAGGGTTGGAGTGTTCACACGTAAAGAGGCTTCACCCTAGAAATAACTCCAAAATTAGATAAACCAAGTTGCAGCATAGATATAATCAGTAATCACACTTGACAGAAATTTTCATCCTTTAAATAAAAAACAGCATACATAATGCCAACATATACACATTCTTTTGAAGTGACAGGAGGGAAAATGCTGTTTTCCCATTGCTAAGGGAAGGACCATCACCCACTGCTCTGGACTAAGTTTAAATATGCACACTTTTGAGAAAGTGGCATTTGATGTCACCTGATATTACTAACTATAAGACAGCTGGAATTTGTAGCCACACATCTATTCTGCAAAGTAGGGTATAGCCAGAGAACCTGTGAGAGGTTGTCATGGAGAGTGTGTTTACCTCCACCAAAGGAGTATGGCTACCTCTTGAAGCAATCTGTTGCTCTGTTAAATAACTCTTACTGTTAGGAAATTTCTAATGTTTTGCCAAAATCTACATCTGCAGTTTCCATACACTGGCTCTCATACTGCTCCCCAGACCAACAGTCAATATACTTCATATTTTGCATTATAACTTTCAGATATTTGAAGAGTACTATGTTATCTTGCCTCCTAATAATGTGAGCTTTCCCTTTTACAGTTACTCTTTTTGAGATGCCTGTCAATAACCTTTCTTTAAAAGACCCAGACATGGGATGTCTCAGCAAAGAGCAGAACTAATGCTTTCCATTACCTAATGGACTGGACTTCTGAAACTTGCATCCTTTTTGCAAAGCGCAACTTTCCAAGCCCCCATCCAACACTCTTAACCACTACTACACAATCATGAGTTTTGACTTACAATCTATTGCTACTACATGTCAAATGGATCTTGTAGCACCTTTGCAACAAAAAATAAATGTTGGTAGCAGCAGCTTTTGTAAACTAACCCTACATTCTCAGATACATGGGCTAAGAAGTGAAGTCACTTGATGCTACCAATTTCTTTCTCTCAGTTAGAATAATAGAATAATAGAGTTGGAAGAGACCCTAGGGGCCATCTAGTCCAACCCCCTGCCATGCACAAAAAGCACAATTAAAGCATCTCTGACAGATTTCCATCCAGTCTGTTTAAAAGCCTCCAAGGAAGGAGCGTTACAAGACTACAAGTTCCCTTTGAACAGCAATACACCAGACTATTTCAAATCAGCATGGATATTAATGTGTTTTACTCTTATGGTACAAGACTTTTGATGTGTATAGTAGACTCCCAGGCAATTGGTAAAGAGCAGGTAAATGTAGTCACCGGTTGTCTATGAGTTACTGTTAAAAATAGGCCAAAGTAATACTGTACCCCATACTATACCATAAACTCTGTATTAACTTTATAGTAATATTGAAATACTGTATTTAAAAGCAAATAAAGACAAGCTTAACTCAATGTGACATGGTTCTACTGTATATTAAACAGCTAAATAAACAAGTATTTTTTTTTAAAAAAAATTGCCAGTTGCTTCAGGGTTCTGGTGAACTGAGAGTCTGTGAGCAGGGCTTTACATGAGAGTCTGTGAGCAGGGATCTATGCACTTCAATGATGCTGTACCTCAGGGGAAGTGAGCAAGAAAGTTTTCAATGACTACTGCCACTGTGATTATTATTATTAGTCTTTGAATTATTTTGCTTTTCCTGCAATTGCAGAGGGTTGGGTGATAGTATGATAGCTGGGTCTGGAAGCTCCGAGCTTTACACATATTCCGCAACGGTGGTGGTGAATAAGGGAAAGGGAGAGCGGCACACTGAGGGCAGGAATATACTTCATAGTTGCATTTGGTGGAAGGATAGAAAGGAGGGGAGGGTTAGGATAAGGGGTTAGGGTAAGGTTTAGGGTTAGAATTAGAGTTAAGGTAAGGTTTAGGATTAGGGTTATATATTAAAGAACGCTTACATTCCTTCTATAATATCTGTTTTCCGTTCCGAGTTGCGCAAACAGCGCTCCCGAAGGAGCGAAGCGGCAACAGCGTAAGGCTCAGAGCTTCCGGACCCAGATTTCATACTATTACCAAGGGTTGGACTAGATGGCCCCAGGGGTCTCTTCCAACTCTATTATTCTAACTGAGAGAAAGAACTGTATAAACCAGACATGGGCAAACTTCGGCCCTCCAGGTGTTTTGGGCCCCTTCCGTTTCCCTCTCAGCTGCTTAAGTGGCCTTCCAGTGGTTCTCAACCTGGTTCCCCCAGATGCTTTTGGCCTTCAACTCCCAGAAATCCTAACAGGTGGTAAACTGGCAGGGATTTCTGGGAGTTGTAGGCCAAAAACATCTGGGGACCCCAGGTTGAGAACCACTGCCTGGGGCTGTTAGGAATTGTGGGAGTTGAAGTCCAAAACACCTGGAGGGCCGAAGTTTACCCATGCCTGGTCTCAACCAATCTCAGGAGCGCCCTCTTCGGGTCTCTGGGTTCAAGGTCAGCATCTGGGAGAAGCAAGGCCTGGGCGGCAAGGCCTCCGCTCCTGGGCCACGCCGTCCTTTGGGCTTTCCTTAGGAACGAAGAGCCCTCCTTCCTCCCGTCCTGCGCCCCTTCCTCCGAAGCTCCCTTCCTCGTCGCCTCGCGCCTCTGGCTCCAAAAGGGGAACATGCACGCGGAGAGTTCACATGAAACGGAAGCGGAAATGCGTCATCCCCAGCCAAGCGGGCAAAGCACGTAAGCAGGAAGTACTATATACGCCGGTGAGGCGGAGGCGCCTCGGAATATGGTGATTAGACTTTACTTCCTGATCTCACATCGCATTTCATAGCTCTACGCTCCACTTTTACATCGCTGGGATTTGCCCTTGAGGGGAAGAGCCTTTACAATCCTAAACCGGCGAGCTTTTGGACCCAGAATCTCAAGGGATGCTGCTGCGGGAGTTAAAGGAGACTCCAGAGCTGTCATAGAGCAATGGGATAAGTGACACGGCTGCCTGCAGCGCCCTCCAGGGGACTGGAAGGGAATGGTCCGCCCTTGCGATCAGCTTGCCATCGGAAGAAGGCACAGGATTGCGTTTACTGTACAAAGCAAATCCTGTTTGACTTCACTGGTGGCGGTGGTGTAAATAAATGCCAGGCCACCTTTCCTAAAAAACAACAACAAAAGGCCACATTTTCCTGTTGCTGATCCCGTTGTATAAGGAGACCCTTAATGTAAGAAGACATAACAATATATATTTTAAATAAATTATATAAAAATCATAATAGTAAATAAAGACGGGAGCTCCAGACAAGAAACAATCAGGGACAGCTAATCACCTCTCAACAAAGGATTCTCCCAGGCAGTAAGAAGCCACACCTTGAAAACTGCTAGGCTATTAAATGATAATCCACATGGCCAATTGCAACATTCACACCTACCTCCAACAGACTAGAGTTATTTCTCCCACCCTGGACCTTATTCCACAGATATATAAACCCGACTTGCCTAGTTTCCAACAGACCTCACAACCTCTGAGGATACCTGCCATAAATGTACGCGAAATGTCAGGAGAGCATTCTTCTGGAACATGGCCATACAGCCCAAAAAACTTACAACAACCCAGATAACAGTATGTTATATTGAAAAAGTCAGATATATTAATTTCATTTATTGAACATTAGAAAGAACTTCCTAACTGTAAGAGCCGTTTTACACAGAGGCTGGATGGCCATCTGTCGGGGGCGCTTTGAATGCGATTTTCCTGCTTCTTGGCAGAGGGTTGGACTGGATGGCCCACAAGATCTCTTCCAACTCAATGATTCTATAGCCCACCTTTCTCCCAAAATGGGGTTTAAAGCATCCATTGTGCCATCCATATGGTTTTAGTAAATCAGTAAAGCCAACAGACCATATCAGAAACAGACAAAAGAAATATTTATTACATACAAAGGGAAGGAAATGGGCCTGTTGTTATTATTATTCTGCCTTTTTTCTCTGATTCAATGCTGCTAACCATGTTAAAAATAAAATTCAAATGTATAATTCAAAATGGAACACAAACATTAAAATAGATTTAAACAGAAATACAAGCAGTTTCGAGGTTATGAATAAGATAGGTTCTGTAGGCTTGAATTTGTTTGTAAGTCGGGGCACATACATTTTTAAAGTGTAACTTCAGCCAAATAGATAAATAGATAGATGTAGATAGCTAGCATAGGGAGGTGTTAACATCACAGAATCATAGAGTTGGAAGAGACTTCCAACTTGTGGCCCATCCAGTCCAACCCCCCCCCCTTGCCATGAAGCAGGAAAATTGCATTCAAAGCACCCCTAACAGATGGCTATCCAGCCTCTGCTTAAAAGCCTCCAAAGAAGGAGACTCCGCCACTCTCCGAAGCAGAGAGTTCCGCTGCTGAACAGCTCTCACAGTTAGGTAGTTCTTCCTAATGTTAGGTAGTTCTTCCTAAAGGTGGAATCTACTTTCCTGTAGTTTGAAGCCATTGTTCCGCGCCATTGCAGTGTTTATCTTGCTATCTGTGCCCCTGTTCAGAAGATATCATCTCACTTTCTGTCCCTGTGAGAATTTGACTTTGAATCATTTGGCTTGTCATGGAAACAAGGATTGGTGAGAAAGCTTCTGCCTTCTCTTCATAACTCTTCCAGGAGTGGATTTCCCTTCCGAGGGGTAGGTTTCAGTCACTTCCTGTTGTCTCACCCTGTTCTTAACAACGAGTTGTTTGTTAGTCAGATGTTTGTAACTGTCTGGATTAAAAATAAATAGTTAAAGCCATTAAAATAATTAAAATACACAAACTTCCATCAGCTTCCTCTGCCTCACTCAGAAAAATCTTTCTTCTTTAAAAGCCTGCTTTAAGCATTTTTTCCTTTTTCCTTAATCTGGTTTCTGCAAGTACAATTTTAACCTCATCTCCTCATGCCTAAAATGGAGATAAATTACATTCAGTAAGCTAAATCATCCACTTTCGTTGAACTACATATACAAAGTCTGTTTGATACTGGGATTCCCCGAAATCTTTGTTTCTTTTATTATGTTTATCTGCTCAAACTGAAGTTTCAGTGAGAAAAACAAATACTATTCTTCACATCATTTTTTTTTTGCTTTTGATCTGTTTCCTAGATTTTGTATCTGACAAGGCTGTATGTCTGTAATTGCTATTAACATTTAATATCTTTGGCTTAAACATTAAAAAAAAAAAAACCTTTAGAGCTGGGAATATAAGGCCTCCACACTAAAGCCATAATTTGATAGCACTTTACAAAAGTGAGCCTGCTGTGATTTCTCTGAAGTTTTGATTATTTTCTAATTTAAACATTTCTTAGGGAGCCTATCTTCATGTATTTAATCCATTTTACACCAATAATTTAATAATCATACATGCATCAGGTGTGAAACAGCTGTTATTCCAAATTCAAATCTAATTATATGAGCTCTGGAGACTCACTATTGCCAACGTCAAACATAAACAGTTCTGAATCATTTCAATTTTCTTATTATTGTCAAAGCTCCAGGTTTCAGCACCAAAAGTTAACAGCACTTCTGCCTTCGAGTCTGGATGCTATGAACCCTAATAACGGCAGTTCAGAAACTCATTTAAAGTTTGGGCAAAGGCAGTTGCTTTCAACTCACATCTCTTTATTTAGAAAGACAAAAACCCTGTAGAAAAGGGGGGAAATCTCTGATAATTAAAATAACTAATCTGCTCTGTTTCATTACAGTTTAAGAACTATGTATGTTATTTCCTTTTCTTGCTAAACATTTGATTTTGTGTGATTGATTACTAAATTATTCTCCTGATAATATGTACAAATTTTTCTCAATAATGTGTGTGTGATAGTTAACAAAATCACATTATCTTTCTATGAAAGGAAGATAATGGGATTTACTGGTTTATCCAAAACTTTTGACATATAAAATCATTAATATCAAGATTACTGGAACTAAATCATTAATATAAACTTTAAAAAGAAGTAGAGCTAAAATACAACCCTGCCCTTTTACTCATGGCAATATTGTTTGTCCAGGCATGACTTATATCAGTTCTAACTTCCATACTAGTGTTCCCACAAAGAGGCTTTATATCAGTGGTTCCCAACCTGTGGTCCATGGACAACCAGTTGTCTGCAAGAATTAAAATATGGTCCGTGGCCTCACTGTTACTACACCCTGGCAAAGAGAGCAACCGGTCTCGCAAAACCCTCTTATAGTGCTGAAGCTTATTAAATATGGTTTTCAGTGGGCGAGCAGATGACGACTACTGGATGGCATATGTTCTGTATCAGAAACTAGAGCTGATGTGGTCTATCCAGTGCAGTTTTCTGAATCAGCGCCCCAAATAACCAAACTGAATCTAAAATTGACCAAAAACTGATTCCCTTTTGGTACTAATGTTGTCTTTTTCTAGCAAACTGGTCTTCTCATGATATGACCAAAGTAGGACAGCCTCAGTTTTGTCATCTTGGCTTCTAAGAAGAGTTCAGGTTTGATTTGCATTTATTTGTCTTTCTAACAGACTGTGGGATCTGAAGAACCCTTCTCCAGCAACACATCACAAATTAGTTTACTTTTTCCTATCAGCTTTCTTCACAGTCCAGCATTCACAGCCATATATAGAAATGAGAAATATGATGGCACAGACCATCCAGACTTTAGTCTCCAGTTATGTCTTTACCCTTCAGGATCTTGTCTTATTCTTTCATAACTACCCTATTGATGTCCTAGTCTTTATCTCATTTCTTGCCTGCAGTCTCCATTTTGATTAAAGTATAGAAAATCTTGAACTTTGCTATCATGAAGAGTAGTAAATCCAAAAGTAATGGCAGTATAATGAAAAATCTACCTCCTCCCTGATGCACACTCACTTTAAGCAATCACGCTGTTTCAGTGTTGCTGGCATAATTGAAAGCAGAGGTTTCGGCTGTTAATCAAGTCATGTAAAACCCAAGAAACAGTAATCATGGACATTGTATTTGAAGAGGGTTTTTCATCTTCTGCTCCTAAACAGTTACTGCAGCTTGAGCATATTCCTGTTTCCATGAATATGAATTCCACTCAGGTTCATGGCAGGTAAATATGAAGAAGATTGCAGAATCAGAAGGACACAGACCTGTGTAGTAAGATCGACCCATTTCTGTGCCAAACACCCACTCCTGCTATTTTGAATGTGTACTGTCACAACATAGATTTTGTGTCAGGTTTATCATCAGTGCCTCTAAAATCAATGGGAGCTAGTCAAGAGAGAGTCTGTAAACAGCATCTGCTTGGTGACTGAATTCTGTTGGTGTGTGGGATCCTCTGCATTCTTAAGAGCTTCCCAAATACAATAAAACAAATCTGTTTCAGCTGCTTTGTCTTGCATTTTTGTTATTTTCCCCAAATCTATGGAAATATTGGCTAAAGGCTTAGTCTTAACAGATACAACAAACTTATTTTTCAATCTGAGATTTGTTAGCATGTTTCCTCTAAATAGGCACTACCATGTCATTTTAAGTAGCAGCACAATCCAGAGCTTTTGTGTGTGTGTGGGGGGGGGGGGAAGGTTTCACCTACAGTTGTGTGAACTTAGGAAGGACATCTACGTTTCCTGTATTCAAGGAATAGTAGCCTATGTTTCCTCATTAATCTAAACCAGGGGTCCTCAAACTAAGACCTGGGAGCTAGATATGACCCTCCAAGGCCATTTACCCGGCCCTCGC